CCGCCGTGCTCGCCGCTGGCGGGGCGGCCGGGGCGGCCGGCGCCGCCGCCGGCCTTGGCTGGGACGGCGCGGGGTCGCGGGCGGGGCGATTCGATGAGGCGGACGCGCGCGCGACGCGGGCCAAGGCGCGGGCAGACTGGCGCGCGGAGGAGGATTTCGCAGGTGCGCGGCCCAGCCGCCCCCTGCCCCGCCTCGCCCTCGTGCACAGCATGGAGAATACGGCTGTCGATGCTCCTGTCATGCCCTGGGCCGAGGCGGGTCGCGCGCGTCAGCACCCATCACCGAGCCCTCACCCCACCCCCCACACCCGACCAACCTCGTGCCCCTCCCCAGCCCTCGGCTCCGCGGGCCCGCCGCCTGGCTTCCTGTCTCTGCCCCTGGTCCCCCTGGGCGCCGCGGACGACCAGCACCTGTTTGAGCTCAACGTGCGCCTGCAGTACTCGGACGACGAGCGCCTGCAGCTGCCCGCGCTCACCGAGCTGGGCGGCGCGGCGGCGGCGGACTTCCCTGCTGAGGCGCTGCTGCAGCGGCGCAGCCTGCTGGTGCGCGGGGGAAGGGATGGATCGGCAGGACGCGGCGCGCGCCTTCGGGCGGGCTGTGGGGCGCCTGGCCCACAAACAACCACACCCTCGTGCTGACTGCACGTTATGTATGATCAGGCACTTCTCAGCAGCTGCTTGGTGGGCGCCACCACCTTTCGCCCCTGTGCCTGCCAGACCAGCCACGCCAACAACCATTCAGGGGCAAGGCAACGTGCCAAACACTGTGTTGTGTGATACCTACCCAACCCCCAGGACAACACGCTCGCCCTGCTGGCGAGCCCAAAGTCCAGCCACGCAGTCCAGTCCGCGGCCGCTGAGCTGCTGCTGCGCCTGGTGGCCGGCCTGCAGCGCTCCCTGGCGCTGCGCAGCGACCCCGAGCTCTCAGCATCAGCCTACGGCAATGACGGCGGCGGCAGGAGTGGCGACGCAAGCGGCGCCGACGACGCGCGGGGGCCTGGTGGCAGGGGCGGCGAAAAAGAGCTGCGGGCGGGCGACTTGCTACAAGAGCTGCTGGCCAGCGTGAGGGGCGCCGACCCGACCTGCACGGACAGCTACCCCCAGCTGCCGCTGCCGCCGGCCGGCGCGTCGGACGCGTGGCGGGCGCTGGCGGGGGCGGGGCGGGACGCGGTGGACGTGACGGGGGTCGTGCACAGCATAGTGCTGCAGGTGCGGGGCCGGTGCGTCTGGGCGTTTTTGCCGGCGTTGCAGCTGGGCAGCAAGGGTATGGGGTGTGAGGCACTGGTCGATGCTACGGTGTGGCCCAAGGCAGAGCGCATAATAGGGCTCGATGGGCATACATATTCTTGGTTGGGTGGATATTGGCGTTTGAGCGTCAGTGCAGCCCAAGAGCGCCTGCTTGCTGCATAAAGCAAGCATAACTTGCATGTGCACGCCCAAAAGTGTCGAAGCCCGTGGCTCCCAGCTGCCCACCCCGGCCCTGCCCCACACCCTGCCACCCCCCGCTCCACCCGAACCCTGATCTCAGGTTCTCGACCTGACCAAGCTGCCAGACCGCCACTTCGAGCTGCTCCCCATCATCGACGCAGCCCTCCCGCTGCTATGCGCGCCGCTCGCGCGCCTCCCGCCCGGCGACGCGCCCGCGGACGGCGCCGAGGGGGCGCGGTTCGTCGCCAGGGCGGCTGCGGCGGCGGCCGCGGCGGCGGCGGCTTCTGGGGAAGCTTCGGCGCAGCTGTCACAAGAGGAGGTGGGGCGGCTGTCGGAGGCGCTGCAGGCGCAGTGGCGCGGCATGCTGTCTGCGCTCAGCCGGTCGCTCGCGTCGTCGCTCGCTGTCGCGCGGTCCGCGCGCGCGGCGGCGGCGGCGGGCGGGGACGGGGGCGCGCTGGCGGCGGAGGCGCTGGCGGCGGCGGGGCTGGTGGCGTGGGACCTCTTCACCATGAACCTGCTGATGCTGGCCCTCAGGTGCGCGGCCATGGCTCATTGCTCGGCCAAAACGGGCTTGGATCGGTTGTGCTGAAGCCTAGTTGCGGCAGCGGTAAGGACTTGTGGGCGCCGCTCACAGAGTGTGCGGCAGTCCCAAACCGTACACAATGCCGCGTGCACTCTGCAAGACTATGCTGCATGCCAGAACTGAACTGTGTAGCAAGCGTCAAGCCCGCCGACTGCCCATGAATGCACGTGCGGATGGATCGCAGGCTCATCAACGAGGCGCCCTTGGAGTGGTGCAGCGCGGCTATCGTGCCGCCCTCCATCGCGGATGCCGCAGAGGCCGCTGCGCTCGACGAGGCCGCCGCGCTGCTGCTGCCGTCCCTGCGCCCCGCCGCGCGCCGCGTGCTCGCCAGGCTGCGCCCGCGGGCGCTGGCCGTGCTGGAGGGCGTGGAGGACGCGCACGCGGCGCTGTCCGCCGCAGACCGCGCGGCGGCAGAGTTGCCGGCGCTGCTCGTCGCCGCCGTGCGCGCCGAGGGCGCCGGCGCCGGCGGCGCGGGTGTGGGCCCCGGTGGAGGGGACGAACTCAGGGGCTTGGCTGCAGCTTGGCTGGGCGCTCTGAGGGACGCGCTGCCGTCGTTAGGGCAGGGGGCCGCCGCGGACCGGCGGCTTGCTGAGGTGGCGCTGAGGGGCCTGCCAGCGGCCGCCGCGGCGGACGGCCCAGCGCCCGGCGCCGCGGCCAACGGCGCGGCGGCACACGCGCACCGGCGGCCGCTGGCGGCGGTCGCCGCGGCGCTGCTGGTGCGGCTGCTGTCGTGGAGCGGGGACGACGGCGGCGGCGGCGGCGGTGGCGACGGCGGCGGGCCCGTATCCTCTGCCCCTGGGACGCATCTGGGCGTTGTGCAGGAAGCTTCCTACGAGCTGCTGCATCAGCAGCTCGCGAGCCTGGCGCCAGAAACGACACGAGCAGGCGACGCAGGCGACGCGGCGCAGCGCGTGCCGGGCGCGCTGCGGCTGGCGCTCGCGCCCGAGGTGGTGGAGCACCTGATGACGGC